CACTTGTCTAAGCCGTGAGCCGCCAGCTTCTCTAGGAGAATGCTGTGGGAGACAGTGTCAAAGTCCTTGCTGAAGTACAGGTAGACCACATCCACAGCCTTTCCCTCATCCACTAGGCGGGTCACCTGGTCATAGAAGGAGATCAGGTTGGTCAAGCAGGACATGCCTCTCATGAACCTGTGCTGGCTGGGCCGGATCCCCTGGTTGTCCCGCTCATGCCTTGTGAGCGCCCTCAAGATGAACCGCTCCATAATCTTCCCCGGCACCGAGGTCAGGCTGACAGGCCTGTAGCTCCCCAGATCCTCCTTCCGGCCCTTCTTGTAGATGGGCGTCACATTGGCAAGCCTAAGGACCACACTGTCAGCCCATACGTGGAACCCCCTGCCTCTGCCTTCCGAATGGAAAACGTGAGTTATCTGCAGGGCAGAAAGGTGAGATTTGAACCCTACAGACCACAAGCAATTCACAGGCTCTGGGCTCACAACGTCCAAGGAAATCCCAGCTCCTGCTGGAATCTACCTGCCACTGGATCTGGTGCCATGCTTAAGAAACCCAAGTACATGAAGGGGTACCTTACCAAAGGGCCTGACAGAAGCAAAGTCCTAGAGGGGATAAATAAGTGTCTGAAAGACAGAACTAGTGGTCAAGTTGTAAGAGGAGTAACCTGAGCAGCCTGCTGGGATCTGCACTGGGACCTTGTGCCTCAACACACAGTGGTTATTTGGCACAAGGAGAGAGTAAGGAGGACACAAATACTGCTTGCGATACCGAGTTATTTCAGAGCTGCAGAAGGACCTCATGACCCTGAGCAACTGGGGAGGAAAATGGCAAGGCTGGAAAAAGCAATGCAATGCATTTAGAAAGAATTGCCTTCTAGACACAGTCCCCAGCGCATAGGCTCCAAAACCAGCTATCAAAACTCAGGACAAATCTGGGAGCCACTGGAGTGATTCTCCACAAACATTAGCTAACGCCTTAGTGGCAATGAAAAATAGTACATACATTTGGACATACCAGGGTGTCTATTCGACTGTATCAACGAGTAGGGACAGGCGGGCTCTTACCGTGGTCAATGGGATAGACCTTCAGCCCGTCCAGCTCAAAGAGCCGTCCCTTGATGGGGACGTAACTGACAAAATGAAAAGCCTCCATGGTTCGCACAGCGCTGATACCATTCTGCTTTTCCGGCAAGTGCCGTGGCTCCGGCCTGCGAGGGCAAGAGAGGCGAGAGGTCAGTGGAAAGTCAGCCACCTCCAGCAAAAGTGAGCTGCGAGACGCCCCCTCGCTCACCTGGCATGGCTGTTATGGGCCTTGGCCAGCTCTGGGGCATTGCCGATGGCATAGCCTTTACTCTGCAGCGAAGAGCAAGAGAGGAAAACAATTGAGAAGTGACAGGAAACAAACAAAATGCTTCACCCACCAGCTCCCCACTCCCTCACTCCATCCACACACAGGACTGGGAGAGCAACTTTCAGGCACATCCTCTGCTCTGCTGAGTTACAGGTAAAACCCAAGATGAAAAGAACACACAATTTCTGCTAAAGAAATTACAGTTAGAGAGAAACACAGGCTTCAAGATAGGTCTGAAGGTAGGAGAGAGGACTTTTGATCATAGACTTAGAGAACGCACCTGGGCTAGGGAATAACACGACAGAAGGCTCAGAGCTATGCCCAGTGTAAGGGGACCAAGGCTCTGAGCAAGGCAAGGTAGGAAGACGAGAGAGAAGAGGCAATACTGACATATCGTGCAGCCACAAAGGGCTGGGAAGGAGCCAGCTCATCAGAGCATCACCCTGAGAGGATAATGAGAGGCAGCTTCACATGCACCACCCATGCACAGCCCTGCACACCTCCGCCCCTACCTCAGGGCTGAATCCTTTGGTGAAATCCTTCATGCGGCTCAGCGTGGGGCCCAGGTCGACATTGTTGCAATTCAGGAGGACGCTCAGCAGGGCGTGGGTGGCACAGGAATTGGGGATCAGCTGGAGGGTGACACAGGGACCATCTTAACCAGCAGGAACAAGGCAACCCTTTAACAACCCCTCAGAGTCAACAATAATCAACTGAAAAGTACTGAGGCAAGAACCACTTGTGAGAGCAGAGACTTGACCTCGGCTCTCAAAGGAAGGGAGGAGGTCGGTCTCATTTAGTGAGCCACACCATGCCCCCACGGGCATCTGCTCACAGTGCAGGCCACGGACAGGCTCGCAGCCCTCACTAAATTCCCTCCAACCTGGAGCTCAGGGCAGAGACTCCCAGGACAGAGGAGCTGCCCTCAGGACCAGCAAGAGCAGTGCAGCCTCTCAGTACCACATTGCTTCCCTGAGGTGTCACACGAGACACCGCCCCCCCTCTTTCCCCTCGCCTCCAGGCTACCTGGTGAGCAAAGAACATGTTATTAACGATGTCATCGTCGATCACCGACGTCTCATCCACCAGGGTAGAGACCTTCCGGCGTGATCTGCGCTCCTCAATCCACTTGAACAGGAAGATGAACCCATACACAGGGCTGCGGAGAGAAGGCAGCAGCTGCACCATTTTGGACGGACCACACCAGTGGGGCTGCTCTGCCCAGCGCCAGAAACCTTCTGTTTCAAACCACGGGCAGAGCAAAGACAGGGAGGGAAAGCAAAACCACCAGTCCCATCTTTCTGGAAGTGAACATCCCTGTTACCCAGGACACTCTCCTGCGCCGATGCTCCAGGCTCAGACAACAATTGAGCTTGAAAACTTCGGGGTTTGACAGGTCTTAAAAGGCTCAAGACAGAGAAATGGGAGGTGAAATCCACCTCTGGACACTGACTGACCTGCAGAAAAGTGCCTGACCACCAAATGACCCCTCCTTTTATACATCAGGCTTTTAAGAAAGCAACAGTCTCAAAGCCATTTTAAAGCACTGAGACAGGGAGAAAGCCCACGCTGCAAGCACACCAGCTTGGCACCGCACCTCTCCATGAGGAAAGGGAGATGAATCCCCTGAAGTATGTCCCCCACCCGCCCCACGAGGTCTTTCTTAAGGCATGAGATCACCTGTCTGCCCCAGACCTGACAAAGCACTCCTGGCTCATCGCTTACAATACTGACCAACGAGTTCACACGGGCCCTTCTGACCACCTGGCGATGAGTTCCCAGGCCCACAGACACATTCTGCTTAACAAAACTCAGATTTCCATGCCTATGACTTACCCTTGGCATTTGCTCTGCAGATCATAAATCTCTTCAACCTGCACTCCCTTGACCCCTGCAAACAAAGGGCAGAAGCTGGTGTAAAGCCCACCAGAAAGGACTAGGGGTAATGTCAAGCATGAAACCAACTTTGCAGGAAGGCTTCTTGTACTCACCAAAATCTTCGACCAGGAGTGTGAAGAGACCTGAAAAGGAACAAAGCCAACCGGTTACTTCTGGCTGAAGAGAGCAGAGAGGAAACCTGCTGCCACTGGCCCCCGAAGGTCCCACGTGATCCCAGGCCAAGGCGCAGCCAGAAAAACTGCAGCACAGGGACACCGGGATCACGCTGACTCCCCAGCAGCAGAGCTGTTGAGCCCTGGCTCGCTACAGAGGTGCTCTGGCTCCCTTCATCCCTTCATCCCCATTCATCATCCTCTTCCTCAAGAGGACCTGAACCAACGCTCTTCTGTTGGAGCCAGATGAAGCTGGACCCACCTTCAGCATCCTGACCATTGCAGATGACCTGCCAAGCAAATCCCCACCACGAACAGCAGCAGGGAGCACCTAAACGACACACGCTCTTCTAACTGGAGGGAAACGTGGCTGAATAGATCACAGGATATTTTTAAAAAAGATCATTTATGTTCTTGTTAGCAAAAGGCACCAGTGAAGGGAAAGCCACCTCAGAACAGCAGGGCTGCAGGGGAGCCTGAGGGCCAAAAGGCTCGTCTTCATCTCCCTCTCTCCTGGGGGACCAAATCCAAGAGCCTGTCTCCAGTGACTACGAAATTCCCACTACAGGACATAACCAGGGATACAGAGACAACGGCAAAGAGACCGAAGGATTATGAGACATCAGCGACTAAGCAGCAGCTTCCACTACGATGCTGTAGCAAAGGCAGTCAGCCCCATTTTCAGGCGGTCCCCCCGCACGCAGAGTTAGCGAGCTCGAGACTGGAATAATAAATCTGCTTCTTTCGCTCCCATATAAAGACTGCTGAAAGCCTGGGAGGAAGCCCAGGGAATATCAATAAGAAGGATTCAATCCTGAGAAACATCCCTGTAAGCAAAGGATTTAAGGAACCTGATGTAAGTGGCTCAATCGAAAAGGGAAGAGCCGCCCAAGGGGCTTCCACACCAAAGTTAAAATAACTAAAACAGAGAGGAAACTTCTGGGGAGCAAAAAGTCTCCATTAATTTAGCAGAAAATGTTGTATTTCTTACAAAATTGTCAGTGAGAAGAAACACGCTATGGAAATAACGCTTCAGACCAGTGACAACCTCCTCGCCGTGCAACACCATTACACCAAACCCCAGCACCTTTCTGACAGAGACGTTTTTGCTCAAAATACTTGACGCCGTGGAGGGCTGTGTCGTACAGGTGACATCTACAGAGACCTCAGGCAGCGCCGCAGCCTCGCTGCCTTCCTTGCAGCAACCCCCTTAGGGCAAGCGGTCCTTGCAGACCATAAGGGTCTTCAGATGCTCATTACAGCCATGGTTCTTGTTCCCTCTTTAGATGGCGTCTGTTACGGAAGCGGGAGTCGCAGCTGTTTACAGTTACAGTCTCTCAACTGTAAAAGCTTCTGCAAAAGTCGAAAGCCTTGCTCACTTTCCAATTTCAACAGTTACAGTCTACTGATCACAGCAAAACATGTGCGACGCGAGATGTGAACCGTACCACAAGCTCTGCCTCGCAGTCAGCGAAGAATTGCATCAGAGCACGGCCTTGCAAATACAAACAACCGTAAATGCCGAAAGCAGCGCTGCTCCTGCAGGTGCCACCAGAAGGAGAAGACCAAGCAGGACTTCCAACCTCGCTGTGGCTCAGCCCGGAGCACTCCCACATCTCCGCAGCAGCTCTCCAGGACCGTGCGTCAGACTGGCAGGGCTGCACCGGAGGAGATGGGAAGTCAGCCATCGCGTGTTTTCCTCCCGTCTGATCAACATCACCGGGGAGTCAGAGAGAGGATGAAGCCAAACTCCTCTGAGTGCACCGTGAAAGGACAAGAAGTGACGGGAACAAGCTGCAGCAAGAGAAATTCTGACTACGCACCCGGAAAAAAACAATTCTTCGCTACCAGTGTGGTCAGCCCTGGGACCGGGGCGCAGAGATCTCCTTCTCGGGCATATTCAAACTCAACCAAACATGGCCATGAGCAACCTGAACTACCTTTGAGGTTAGCTCTGCTTTGGGCCAAAGACTTCCAGGGTCCCTTCCAACCACGGTTTTTCTCTGATTCACTTCAACATTTTGTATTACCTCAGCATCCACGAAAGGCATAGTCCTGCTGCTGCTATCGCTCCTGGAACACCCAAAACCCCCATCCCAAATTACTTGGGTCAGCTGGAGGAAACATTCTGGTGTCCACAAGCACACGCAACACTACGCCAGCAGCCTGGAAGTTCCCAAGGCTCCCCTCTCTGCCCAAACAGCCATGGCAGACACGGCCAAATCTGGATCTGCCGACCCTTCGTGACAGGTAAAGCACGGAGAGCTTTCAATCCCAAGCCCCGTGGCGAGGGCTGGGCAGCCTATGGGATGTGCTGAAGGCCGAGAGCAGTGCGCGGTCATTCCTAACCGCTGTCCCAGCTGCCGCCTCTGTGTCTGAACCTCCGCACATCCGAAGGAGCGCAGCTGCGGCGTGCGGAGAGCCCGCCTCTGCCCAGGCAGATTATCTTCCAAGCAAATAACCTTCCCTCCCAGGTGTGAGAATCCAAACCATGTCCTGCCTTCGGTATCGTCATGAAGAAGAAGGAGGAGGATGGGAATGATTTGGGCAAGTCCCGAGTACCGGTAAAAAGAGGATAAAGAGCAGCAAAACCTGGGCTGACTGGGAGACCAACAGCAGACAGAATCCTTCTCTGAGTGCAGGAAGACGAGTATAATGGCAGGGGTCCAATTTCCTCACCCACAGACTCAAAAATACACCACCATATCCCAAAGACCAGCTCTCAGCCTCCCAGAGGACCACCCCATGTCACACTATGGCAACTCAGACGCATTAAAACAACGCTCAGCCAATACCCCAGCCAACACCGGCTTTGGCCCTCTAATCCTAACCCGCAACCACCACAGAAACCACCTTCCCCGACACAGCGGGAAGGGGACGCCTGTGACCATCCTGCTCCCGGCTGCTCAGGCTCCATACTGGGTTGTTCAGCAGCTTTCCTGAGCTACCTGTGGGTGAGAGTTTGATCCACCTGCTCAGCAATCCACCTGCGATGACAGGATCTGTCACACGTGGGACAGAGACACCACCCTCACGTGCTCCTGAGTGACAGGCACACGGGTTCTCCTCAATCGCCCACAAAGCTCTGGGGTGTCAGAGCTATTTTCTGCAGCAAGGGGTATCCCATACGCATGCTTCTCCCTGGATTTCAGCAATATTTCAGGGTGTATTTGCAAACGACAGGAATGCTTCATGCTACACCCTCGCAGCATTTCAGGTGTTTTCCACAGAGACCCCTGAGTTTATCAGATCGCACACACATACAGGTGTCCGGGACACCTCGGACCCCATGTACAAGTGCTACCAGAGCCCAGGCCCTCTCTGAGCCCTCACAGTGCCCCTGCAGCCCTATTCACCCCATCCCTGCCCTCATCCCACACCTGCACCCCTACACGCAGCCTCCTGACATCCCCTTTTCTGTCTGCCCTACGCCTCATAACCTTTCCCTAAGTCCTCCATAACCCCCCCGAGCTACGTCCCACACACCGTGACCGCCCTCATCCCACACCTGCACCCCTACACGCAGCCTCCTGACATCCCCTTTTCTGTCTGCCCTACGCCTCATAACCTTTCCCTAAGTCCTCCATAACCCCCCCGAGCTACGTCCCACACACCGTGACCCCGCACAGCCCCCCTTCCCCCCAGGACCCACACTGCTCCTGCCCCACACACCCCTACACCCTCGCCTGCCCTCCCGACCCTCCGCCCCCGC